CATTACTATATCGGAATTAAACGTAATTTCTACCGATAAAATATCGGGATGTTACATTGCGGTGCTTACTTAGGAAATTGCTTAACTTCTCTACTCTCTATATGTTGTTACCTAACGTATATATGGGCTGAAGAAGATGGAGATTTCTCCAAATACTCCCATTTATATATACACGGTTCTAGGGACGAAAACGATCGGAAACGATCGGCATAGGGCTCAACCATTTCCACTTTCATATTTTTTTCTCGAAAACGAAAATGATACGGTAATGTCGGAAATGAAAACGACATCGGTATTCCGATAATATCGAAAACGAAACTATCCGATCGAAAATACATCGATAACGATCGAAATATATTAAAACGGTATTTAAAAAACGATAAACACACCACATTATAAAATATAGCATTAAAACATTAATTGAAATATTCTCATGGCATAATAGTAGCAAAATTCAAATTAAAATCCACACCATTTGCTATAACAAAATCCATACAAATTCCAGTAACTAGTAATTGAATTGTGACTTGTCCACCAAAGTGGGGTAGGTGGCGGCAGCTGGAGCCTGTAGTGGCTGGTGCGGTTGCGACGTTGATGGGAGTGGGGCGCGGCAGCAACGAGCAGGTGACGGGAGTGATGACAACCAGGCGTGGCGAATTGCGATGGCCGTCGGCCGGTGGAAGAGATGACAGGCTCCCAGACGAGACTCGAGAGTGAAGACCGAACATGATAAAGGGGATTTGGGCACTGTAGATGCAGTTGCGACGGTGATGGGAGTGGGGTGCGGCGACGACGAGCAAGTGACGGGAGTGGCGACGAGCAGACGACGAGCAGATGGGAGAGACGACAGACTCCCAGACGAGACTCGAGAGTGAAGATCGAAAGGGATGAAGGGGATTTCAGGATTTAGGCACTGTAGAAGGGTTGGGCTGAAGGGGATTTGGACATTTGACCCATTTGGAATTTGGATTGGGCTTTATAATTAAAAGTGACCCTAGTATGGGTTGGGCCGGTATTACCGACGGTAAAATACCGTTTAAATACGGTAATTTTCGAAAACGATCGGAAAAGGGCTAAACCGTTTTCGTTTTCATTTTCGAATTTTTTTACCGTTTTCATTTCCGTTTTTCCGGTTACCGTTTCCGTTTCCATTTAGCCTCCAAATCCGAAAAAGTTTCGAAAACGATTCCCGGTAATCGGAAATTACCGTTTCCGTTTTCATCCCTGCACGGTGCCAAGGGAAAAAAAATGACTCAAGGCCTTGGTGGCCTTTTCTTTTAATGACACTTGTAGCAAAATAAAACCATCTTAAGGTGACTAATCACCTCATAAGTTCTAATACTGCCACGTATAAAACCTAAGGAGAAGGAATGATTTTTCTTCCTTGTGAAGAATTTTCCACACGACTTTGAAATAAATTTGGAAATGGCTTACGGCTTATGCCATTTATATTGTGATTAATTGCTAATAAATCACCTTATTATGTTTAATTATTTAATTAAACATAATGCTTAATTACCAAAATTATTCCGAACGTAAACGGAACGTCGAAAATAATTTCAGGTAATCTCGACTGAAAAATAATTAATTCCGAAAATAATAATCGACAACGTTGTTATATCGGAACTAAAACATGATTTATATTAATAAATTGACGGGATATTACAGCGCGGGTGGTC